ACCTGCCAGGGCCTCTGCCCGGAGTGCCCCCCCCCACCCCAGCTCATCACCGCAGAGCCCCAGGGCAGGGCCCCGCACCCCATGGCCGGGCCCCGCACCCCATGGCCACCCGTCCGTGCGTCGTGTGCAGTCAGAGCCACCGCTGCTGACATTTTCTGTTCCTTGTCCCTCCTTTGCACTTATCCCCGGCTGAAAATACCGTGCGTATTTTTGTCTTGCTCATTTTCTATCTCACCCACGAGAACATAAACTCCACGGAGTGTGGGCGTTTCTGTGCACGTTTTTCATCACTCTTTTTCTGGGGCCCGGATGGGATGCACAGGGGAATGGCCCAGGCAGCCCCCAGAGCACGGGCCCCCGGCTGGTTTCAGGTGGGACCTGCCACCAGCCTGGGACTGACGGAGGAGGCGGGGGCTCGTCTCAGCCCTCCGGTGCCTCCTGGGCTGGGCAGGGTCTCCTGCCCGTCCCTCCAGCCTGCTACCAGCTGCCCACGAGCAGCCACCTCGCCATGACGCGGGGTGAGGGGAACCGGGCTGCACCACGTGGGGGAGGGGCAAAGGGTCTCAGCCCAGCCCCACCCCACAGAAGGCCTCGCCGACCCCTCCAGGTCCATCCCCCAGAGCCTGACCCTCTCTGTCACCCCATCCTGGGCCGGTCGCCCTCCCCACCCCTTCGGACCCAGGAGAGAGCTATTCCTAACTGAGAAGGCAGGTGCCTGTCAGGACTCCAGGCTGACACGGCTCCCCTCGTACCATCTGAGCCTGGCCGGGTGGCTTTGGAGAGGTCTGCACCCTGGGGCTCCCCAGACGAGCCCTGTCTCCCGGGGGTGTCACCCAGCCTGCGCCCAGACCAGCCTGCCAGACTACAGAGGCGGGCACAGAGAAGTGACCGGCACCCTCTGGTGCTGAGCCACAGCAGAGCAGTGCCCAGTCCGAGCCCATCACCGCCTCGTTCTCCACGGCTGCCCACCCGGGACCGCTGACCGCGCAGAGTGGACTCAGCGGCTGTGCTCTGGGACATGGCCTCCACCAGTGGTTTGGAAGGGACGCGGTCTCACATCCGAGGGGGCAGGCGTGGGGGACAAGGGGCAAGGGCCCCAGCGGGCCGCCAACTCGGGCGTGGTCCAGGAGCCCTGCTGCCTTGTTACTCAGAGAATTTTCCTGAAAGCATCGGTCCCCACGCTGCACGGGGTGCAGCGAGCTGCTCTCCTTAGCTCCTCTCCCAGTCTGGTCCAAGGCTTCCTCCCGCCGGCTCGGAGCTGCCTGTCTACTCAGGGGCCTGGCGTAGGGACCGAGTTTCAGTTGACCCCTGGGGACGGTCGTGGACCTCCGCTCCACAGAAAGCTGCAAAGGGCGGGCTGGGCGCCCTGCGAGGTGGGGGCCGCGGGGGCCTCCTGGGCAGGTAGGTGTCCTGGTGGAATAGGAAACTGGAGGTGAAGATGGCGGGGAGGCCCATCCCTCCGCGGGGCAGGCTTCCTGGGGGGTTGGCCCGTCGTGAACGGAAAGGCCCGGGGAGCAGAGGGAAGTCACGTCAGCATCTACACTGCCAAGTCGCTGCAGCCCCAGGGACAAGGTGGGAGTGGTGGGGTCGAGGGGAGGGACCACAGGGCCCAAAATAGTGGCCGTGCTCATAGGCTGGGCGGCCGGCCACGTGCACGGGAGGGCTGCCCACACCTGCCACTGCCCGTCCCGCCTGGCGCTGGGCGAGCCTGCCGGGGCCGCGGGCCAAGCAGGGGCTGCTCAGCTTCCCAGGCAAACACACCGTCGTCAAAGACGGGGGACGTGGCCCTTCGCGCGTCCCAGGAACAGTGGCGTCGATGTCACACTGGGTGGCCCCACGGCCCCTGCAGCCTGGGGATCTCGGTTCCCCAGATAGTTAGGACATGCTAGACGGGGCAGGGCGCACTGGGGGCCCGGCAGCCGCTCCAAGGGCAATGCCATCGAGGCCCCTAAGCGTCCTGTTCCCTTCACCCCTGAGAGCTGGCCATCGAGGGGCTGGGGGGCTGCAGGGAGGCTGACGGCTCTGTGCCTTGGACTCTGCCGACGCCTCTGGGAGCCTCGGTTCCTCGCTCGTAAAACCGAAACCCCGGTCACGACCTGGGGACTCGTCCTGAGCAGTGAGCGGTGTCCTGCAGGGGCCTGTCCACCGCCACTGGCCCGTTCCAAATGCCCGTAAGTCACAGGCACGCTTCCGGGAACCCGGGCCTTGAGGGCGGCCACTCCTTGGCCAGTGCCACGTGCCACTGGTTCTCACGGCGCCGTGGGGTGCGGTCACGCCGTGGGTGGATCTGTCCCATGTGCCCAGCACCTCCTCTGCTCCACCCTGGGCCCCTCCGCCCGCCAAGCTGTTCTCCTCTCCACAGAGGAGGCAAGTGGGGCTCCAAGAGGAAGTGGGGTGCCCGGGCTGCAAGGCTTCTGGCCGCCCAGGTGACTGAGTCAGCAGCTTTCCTGGCGAGCCAGCGGCTATCCTGTGGCCATACTGCTCACAGGCGGCCAGGGCTGGCCTCTGTCCCCACGACCACCCCAGCCTCCAGGTCGGAGGGTGGCCCTCTGGGACATGAGCAAAGCAGCCATGTTTAGCCTGATGAACTCTCACCCCGAAGAAGCGACTTGAGCAGGTCTGTCCCATGCTGTGGGGGACCCTCCCTGCCCCAGGTCACACATGCCAGGGCTTTCCAGACAGGAGGGACAGAGACAGGGGGTCTGCACACTTGGGTGGCGAAGGGGGACGAGGGCTACCATCATCCTAACGGCTAAGTTTATTAAGCACCCGCTCTGTGCCCGGCCGCACAAACACACCTAGTCACCACAGGACCCTGCAGGGCGCCACTCGGACCCGAGGGAGGGAGCGAAGCACAGAGGGTTGAGTCATTCCTGCAGGTCACACAGCTACTAAGTGGTAGAGCCGTCTCGGCCGCCATGCCAGGCCGGGGAGGGAGACGGCAGGCTCGGGACATCTGGGCAGGCTGGTCAGATCCTGCCCCCACCCCGCCCGGTCATGGCCGCTGACCCCCAGGCCTGGGCTCCGTGGGGCCTCGGCCGTGCCCTGGGAGCACGGAGAGTGAGTGGGTGACGAGCCACTGAGCAGCTCGCGGTGCCGGACGGGACGTGGTGCCAGGACTTGATGGACAGTCCTGAAGGTTGGATGAGGACGCGGAGGCTCAGGGAGGGTAGGAAGGTGCCGGCGACGGCCCCGCTCGAGGCCGGCCGGTCCGCTTCCCCACAGCTCCCGAAAGGCAGCCTGGCCGGGCCAGGCGTTCAGGGTCTGCCTAGATGTCCCCCGTCCACTCTGTGTCACAGCCCTGGAGTGAGGGCCTCAGACCCAAGCTGGGTGCCCGCAGCGGGGCGGAGGGCAGGCTCGAGGTGGGGCCCTTGTCCGATTTTGCCAGCCCAGGCCCCGCAGGTCCCGGCTCTGACAGGCAAGGCCAGAGCCGGGGTCCTGAGCCGAGTGGAAGGGGCTGCAGCCACAGCCGCCTGCGGGCACATTCCTGACCCTATAAAAAGACAAGTGTCCTGGATGCCAGAGGCTCAAGCTGCAGCCGCTGAGGGCTGTGCAGCAACCCGAACCCCAGGAATGTCCCCGGGGTCTGGCCTTGTCAGCAGACACCAGAGGGGCAGGCGCCGCTTGGGAGGCGAGGGAGGGGCCAGCCCGCCCCCCGCCGGGCAGTACCAAGGCCTGCCTGGCCATTGTCACCGAAAATCGTCCAGAACTCGGGAACTAGGCAGAGGGAGGCGCCACGCGTGCCGGCCTGCTGGAGCGTTTTACAAGGGGCCTGGCCGAGGGCTGTTTGATTGAGCGAGTGGGGTTTCTCGGCCACGCCCTGCTCACACCTCAGGCCGGGGTCGTTGGCAGGAGTGGCCTGTGCACCTGGGATGCTGAGTCCCCGCCCCCACCTCTGATGCTGGCCACCTGGGCTCCCCTCCGCCCGCGGCCAGGAGCCGGCTATGTGACCCTGAGCTCGGCCTTCCACAAAGGGTCCCTTGCTGACGGCTGAGAGCCCACCTGGCTCTGACCCCCGCAATGGCCTCAGGGAGGTTTCCGCGAGATGTCCCCTCCCAGGGAACCCACTGCCCACCAGCGTGGGGCCAGGCCTGACCCACAGCTGAGGTGAAGCGCGCAGGGCCCTTGGAGATGTTTGAGGCAGCCGCCCCGTCCCGAGGCGGACGCCGCCGGCCCCCGAGGTGTGATTTAACTCCCCGGAGGTCGGATCTTTCCCAAAGTAGTCACTTGTCAAGGAGCTGAATGGGCACCGAGGTCCCCGAATGCACCATCCTGAGGGCGGGTGGGCCCAGGGCCCTCCCAGACTCAGCTCGGGGGCACCGTGCGAGGCCCAGGTGCTGGTCCCCGCCTGCCCGCCGCACTCGGGGGCTCGGAGATTCCGCGTACCGCCACACGCACACAGAGCCCCAGCTTCTCACCAACGCGAGGTCGACTCCCATGGAAACCCCACATTGAGGGCCGAGGGGACACCTTCCTGGTAAGCCCCGACGCTGGCCACCCTCGAGTGCCGTGCAGGCTCCCCGTGCCCTCTGCAGCCTGGACCGTACGTGCCCGAGACCGCTGTCTCCCCAGAAGCCATGAGAGCCACAGAGGCCTGAGTTCGAGACCCACGCAGGGGTGACCCCGGGCCAGGTACCCTAACACTCTGAGCCTCAGTGTCCTCGTCTTACAACGTCCCCTGCCTCAGCTATGGGGGGCAGCTACAGGGGAGTCCCTAAAATACACGATAATGTTAACGATTTAGCACAGAACCCGGCATCGGACGAGCACGTGATAAGTGAGGAGCATCTTCCCGGGGATCTGGCCTTGGGCCGCTGGGCCCTGTCACCCATGCCTCATTATCTCCCCCATGAAACTGGCTGAGGTGGGGAGGAGATGGGACACTCCGACCCTGGACAGTCCCTTCCAGCTCCGGTCTGTGATGGTCCATCATGGGGTACAGGTGGACGGGCAGGAGACAGAGGTACAGAACCCTAAAACTGTCCTCTGCTGGAGTCGTGGATGGGGCCCGCCCAGGAAGGCAGGCAGGGGTCTTCCGGGCTCCATCCGGGGAGGATGGCCGTTCAGCCCCATCGCCCGCGGGCTCCCAAGCCTGCGCTTCCGCGTCTGGCAGCTGGGGCGAGTGGGCGGGGCTGCCGGGCCCACCGGGAGCTCCACCTGGAACGTGCTTAGGCCAGAGCAGCGCCCGGCGTGCTCGCCCACAGGGCTGGCTGGCGACGGCGCAGGATCCGGAAGCAGCGGCGGAGGCCCCGGGCCAGCCCTGCAGGTGGTTCGGGGGTCTGTACCCCCACATCGCCCTCCAGCACGCAGCCCCCCACGGGACTCCCCGCCTGGCCGCAGGCCCACGGGGCGGGAGGGACGGCGGCGCCTTACCAGGCCGACGTTGAGCGCGTTGCTGTCATCCTCTGGCATCGGCACGTACACGGCCAGGGCCACGCAGTTGGCAAAGATGGTCAGCAGGATGATCGTCTCGAAGGGTCTGCGGCCAGCGTTAAGGAGAGCCCCTGAGTGAGGCGTGGAGTCGGCAGGTGCGGGAAAGAGGCTGCTGGGGGTCAGCGTGCCCCGACTGCCTCGCCCGGCTGACGGCCCGCCGCCTGCGGGATGCGGAGACCCTCTCTGCAGGGGCGAGGGGCCCCCACGCAGGTGCTTTGACCCCAAAGCTCTGGTTCCAGGCTGAGGGTCCCCTTTTAAGGGCCAGGGAGCCCTAAGGCTCCATTCTGAGCACTTGTCCGTCCCCAGCCCGCCCCTGCCTGTCGCCAATCAAGGAGCCTTGACTTTCAGAGATTCTGGCAGGACAACCTGGGGGTCTGCTCGGAGAAATGGGGCTGCCGGGGGCTGGGTTAGGTGCCCACAGACCAGGGCTGTGAAAGGGACGTGGGGACCTGGGGACGTGAAACCTGCCCCTCGGACCCCGAGGACGGAGGGGAAGACCAGTGACTGACTCGGCGCTTCCAGACGCACCGTCCCCTCCACAGTCACCGTGCAGAGGCGCAGCGGACCGGAGAGGCTGCCTGTCAGAAAGCTGGGGGGCGGAGGCCGAGGCCTGGAGAAGAGGCCACAGGAGCGGGGAGGCGGGGGAGGGCACCCTGTCACCCCGACAGACCGCGGGAGACCGCGGGGGGCAGGCGGGGCGGGGTGATGCCGCCGCGGGGGGCCCTGGGGCAGGGCGGACCCGCCAAAGCCTCCGACCCTCTCACATTGTTCTCACTCCATGCACCGTCTTGGGAACAGCTGACTGACCGGAGTCCCGGCTCCCAGACCCTTCGGAAGTGTTTCCGGCGTTCCCGAGCCCCTCGCTCAGGGCTCCCCCTCGCCCCCCATCTCCCTTCTCTCCGTAACGACCCAGGTGTCATCGCTCTTCCTTGCAGAGCTGACCCAGGGCGGGGGTCTCAGCCACAGGCCCCTGGGACCATCCGGCCCGGCTCCCTGCACCCTGGGGGGTCTTGCAGAGCTCACCCACTGCTTCGTCACCCCCCACCCGATATCAAAACGAGGCCGTCACTTCCGAAGTCTGAGGGAGCCCGCCGTGGTGTGGCCTTGGGCACACCTGCCAGCAGCCCCTGGACACGCCCCGGCCCAGCCACAGGTGGGCTGTGGTCACCAGGACCTGGCCACACACTCAGGCCCCCCAGGGCCCCAGCCGCCCCTCCATCCCCCTCGGCTGAAGCCTTCCCTCCCCGAGGCTCCTCGGGGCCGTCACCCTGTCTCCAAGACCCTGCCTCCCTGGCCCCCGAGCGCGTGGCCCGTGGCCACCCCTCCTCCCACTGCCAGGTCACAGGCACTGTCCCCTGCCCGGGCCCGGATACTTCCATTCCACGATGCTGATGCAGGCCTTCCTCAGCGGGTTCTGCAGGGACAGGCACAGCAAGGCCCGGGGTGGCCTGGGCAGGACCTCAGGGACTGGCTTCTTGGGCTGCTTCCTCCGCAGGCCCTCGTCCTGTGGGGAGGGCGGCTCCATGTCCCCGACCCCGGCCCTCGCCTCCCTGCGTCCCCTGTGCCCTCGCCTTGGGCACTGGCCGCTGAGTCTTCGGGGCCAAGCCTACGCTGCCTGGCCGGCCGGGGCGGGGCAGGAGGATTACTGTCGCTGCTCTCAGGGAGTAAAATTAGCTGTGAAGCCAGCAGCTGTCACTCTGTCCCGGGACGTCCCGGGGGCGGGGGTGGCAATGCCGGAAGCAACAGCTCGCGGGCCTGGGCTGGGCAGTGGGAGACAGGACGGACGGTGTCAGGGCTGGGCGAGGGTGAGTCCAGGAGGGTGGCTTGAGGGGGCCTGTTGGTTCCCCTCCCCCAGCCCCACGACACTGTCCAGGAAAGGTGCCGGTGGCCCCACTCAGCACCATCCACTCCCCCGCACCCGCCCCATGGGGCTGCAAGGCTCTCAGAAGAGGCTGAGCCGTGGCCCTCCGGCGTGGGCCCTGCCACACCGGGCGGTGTCTGCCGTCTGCCCCCTAACTGTTCCAGGGCCGAGTGCTTTCTCTCCAGGCCCCTGATCCCTCCTGCTCGGATGGCAGAGCAGGGCGCCCCACACCTCCAGCGAGTGCCCAGGTGGGCTCCAGGTAAGTGAGGGCAGAGCCAGATCCAGGAATCACACAATGCAACGAAATCTTTTATTCCAGCCCTTGGCACAGACCAGGCCAATGTTCCCCCACGGTCCCACGGCTGGCAGCCGCGCCCAGGCTGAGGGGGGAAAACAGCCGTCACACAGCCTGGAGGAGGGGCCGGAGGAAAAGGCCACCGTGGGAGCCAGGACGGCGGCTGCTCGCCCTCCACGACGCAGGCCCGAGGGCGCCCCCCAGTGGGCACCGGCACACAGCGCCTTCCACCTCCCTCCCTGTCTGTCCCTCCCACTTGGGCCAGAGCAAGCAGCAGACCCGCCTCCCTCCTCCCCAACCCTGGGCTCCTGTCCCCGGGGTGGGGGCGAGCAAGCTCCCAAAGAGGGTGCTGGTATTCGAGGCCATTTCACGGCGGGCCAGGCAGGGCGCATCCCGAACCAAAGGCGGCTCGCCTCCAGGGACTCGCAGACCCAGACCTGTGGCCACGGAGGACGTAGCAGGGCCCTGCGGCCGGCTGTGCCCCACCAGGGGCTGGCCTCGGCTGCCCCGGCGCGGAGCTGAGGCCCAGACGAGCCGGACCCGGGGGACGGTGCTGGGAGGCCTTGCTCCCACCTG